AAATCTTATTTGTTCGTAGATTAATTCAATCATTTTTTTATATATATATAAATAGATTGATATTCATTAATAAATGTTTATTGATTATTTTCATTAATTTTATTTGTATAGATTGTGATTTTCATTGATAAATATATTTAGGAATTATAAAATACATTATAGTTTACTTTTAATTTTACTCTTTTTCAGAAATTATTTAAATTCGTGTCGTGCTCTAAAGAAATTTCAATATTTAATTAAAATGTTAATTAAAACGTTGAACTTTGTATTCTCTGATTGTGTTGCACAAATAAGTTCATTATTTATTTATTATTGCTAATTTATTGATACATCGTAATGAAAACTGTTCTGTAAATTACTCAGCAAAAATTTGTATATCTTTATATATAAATATATATATTTTTATAAACAATATTAAATAAAAGTTAGGATTATATTATATAGAAATATTTTTAATATATAATAAACAAAAAAAATAAAAAGTTTTCTAATTAAATTGTCCTTTGTGTCACACCTGTACTCTCTAATGCCATCTAACAACGTGCGCTGCAAGTGCATGCATGACATGAAAAAATAATGGCGCTGTTCTTGGAAATAAGTTTAAGGTTAAGTCATATTAACTTTAGACACTATATTAATTATAATAATGTCTATAAATATGTTTAATTCTATAGCTTACAAAAGTGATATATTTCCTCAACCTATACAAATTTAAAAAAAATGAGTTAATATTAATATTAATATTAAAAAAAAAAATAATTTTCATACATATATGTGTACAGTGTTATGATACGGACTTTATTTAAATATTATTTAAATATTATTATTTATTTAAAATGTCACTATTGAGAATAGTGTTGTACAAACAACAAGCAATTTTTGCATTAACTGCAAGGTAATTATTTTTTGTTTAAATAATCTAATAGATGATAAATATAAAAAGTATCTAATATTTAAGTTAATATTTCAGAAAACCATTAGTGAATTATGCATTGGAAAAAACAGGGCACGTTGTTCATCAATTTAAAAAGAATTTCAATTCTCATATTAAACAATTTGTTACCCAAGAGTACAAGAAACCAAAGAGAGTATCAAATATATCGACAATTTATTTGGGCACATTAGGAGTATCTGCAGTTTGTATAATTAAGAATAGTATAAAACAAGTGAAATGCGAACCGATTAAACAAATTTCTAATAAAACAAAAGATGTAGAACCACAATTTAAATGGAAAAGCTTTTTGAAGTATCTGTATCCTCATATTTGGCAATTGTTAATTGCCCTATCAGTAAGTATCAGTATTTTGATAACTATGTTAAACTATGAATTATATTTCTCCTAATTTTTATTTTTTAGAGTGCTCTTATAGTTGCAATGTTAAATATTTGGATACCGCAATCTGTTGGTAACATAATTAATGTATTAACTAAAATAGTTCAAGATAAGGAAGACAATTCTACGAGAAATACTTTAGAAATGCTTTTGAAACCGGCATTCATATTGGCACGTATGTATATTGCACAAGTATGTAAATTTTTAATATATAAATATAAACAATAATTTTTCTTGTTTATTCTTTTAAACAAAATAAATAATAAAATGTACATTTTCCAGGCATTTTTTACTTTCATCTACATTCATACTCTTTCTCACATTGGGGAAAGAGTTGCTATGAAATTACGTCAAGATGTATTCAAATCTATCATTGTTCAAGATGTTGCATTCTTTGATAAGAATCGATCCGGTGAAATAGTAAGTCGGTTGACGAGTGATATCCAAGATTTCAAAAGTGCATTTAAAATCTGTATATCACAAGGCTTAAGAAGTTCCACGCAAATTGTTGGATGCGTTATTTCTATAATAATGGTATCACCTCATTTAACAGCTGCAATGTTATTATGTTTGCCAACGGTTATATTTATTGGTACCCTCTTAGGAAGAAGCTTGCGCAAGTTGTCTATTGAAGCTCAAAACCAAATTGCTAAAGCTACTGCTGTCTGTGAAGAAGCTATTCAAAACATAAGAACGGTATACTAATAAATATATTATATTTTATAATTTATTCGAATATTATACGTATATGATAACACATTCATATTTATTTAATAGGTGAGAGCTTTTGCTGCAGAAAAAAGAGAAACAGAATTATTTTCTAAAGAAGTTGAGAATGCATCTAAATTATATGAAAATTTAGGATTTGGTATTGGTTTGTTTCAAGCAGGAACTAATTTATTTTTAAATAGTATCTTACTTTGTACCTTATATTTTGGTGGTCATTTAATGTCTACTGGACAATTAACGTCTGGTGATCTCATGGCATTTTTGATGGCAACACAAACTGTTCAAAGATCTCTGGTACAATTATCTTTATTATTTGGAACATATGTGAGAGGAACCAGTGCTGGTGCACGAATTTTCGAAGTAATTTATCATTTTTACTTTCTACTGATTCATTATGCGTACATGTATTGCTTATAATTTTACATGAATTTTATTCTACACAGTACTTAAATATGCCACCATCTCCAATGATGATTGGAGGAAAAGTAATAAAAGATTACTCTATGGCAGGAAATATAGAATTTAAAAATGTTAAATTTAGTTATCCAACTCGACCGGATCGTGTTATTTTGAAAAATTTTCATTTGGATATCCCTTCTGGTAAAACAGTTGCTATCGTCGGTACTAGCGGAAATGGTAAATCAACTATTGCTGCATTATTAGAAAGGTATGCTATTTTTTTTTACTATTACTTCTTATTGTTAAGATTAAAAAAAAAAAAGTCTATGCAGTATAAATTTTGTTTTTTTCTACTTTATGTATTTTTTCAAATGAAGAAAACGAAACGCATATATATATATATATATGTTGTAATTTATTATATTAAATAATAATTCATTGATTTTTGATATAGATTTTACGACGTCAACGAGGGTAGCATTTCAATAGATAATTGGGACATTAAATCTTTAAATTCTAGTTATTTACGAGGTACAGTATTAGGATATATAGATCAGGAGCCAATACTGTTTGCAACAAGTATAATGGAGAATATAAGATATGGTAAAGAAGATGCTACGGATAATGAGGTGAATTTTGCATTTTTACAATGCAGCTAATAAAACATGAAATATCATTTAAATCAAAACAATCTTTTTTTAATTATTTATGCATCAGGTTATAGAAGTCGCGAAGGAAGCTAATGCTCACGAATTTATAATGCAATTTCCAAGTGGGTATGAGACTCAAGTTGGAGAAAGGGGTGCACAATTATCTGGAGGACAAAAACAGCGTATCGCTATTGCCAGAGCCTTACTAAAGCGGCCATCAATTTTAATATTGGACGAGGCTACGAGGTATAAAATTAATTAAATATCAATAATGAATTATTTTATTTTGCTTGAATTTCTATGAGCCTCAAATTTAATTAGGCGACCTCGTATGAGGTGGATAATCCACATTTCGAGATGATTAGTATATACTATTATATATATTTTTTCAATATTTAATATATATATATATTTATTATTAATAAAGTCATATTTATTTTAAATATATAGCGCATTAGATTACGAGAGCGAAAGGGTGGTTCAAAAAGCATTAGAAAATGCTACCAAGGGTAGAACTGTATTAGTTATTGCCCATAGACTAAGTACAATTAAATCTGCTGATATCATCGTTGTATTGAATCGTGGTGTTATCGTCGAGGTATGTTTCTAAATCAATCCAAATTTTATATTTGTTATATATATATATATATATTGATCATGTTACAAGATATACTATATCTAATAATTATATATATATTTCATTTCATTTACATTTTAATATATCTCCATTATACACACAAATAAAATCGGCTGATATTTTTCGTGTTATCGTGGAGGTAGGTTTAAATACAAAAATAATCAACGTTTAATGTGCATGATCGATATATATTAATCATTTTACAATATACTACATCGAGGTACAGTTTATTTTATTGTTTTAAATCATTATGTAATTTTCATTAATGCTACTACATTATCATATACATATTACAATAGTTACATCTACTGAATTGTTTTGTTTTTTTTCTTTTTTGTAGATGGGCACTCACTCGCAATTAATTCAAAATAGAGGAACGTATTATAAATTAGTAAATGAACAGGAAACGGAAGACAATAATCGATTGTAGTAAAATTTTGCAATTAATGATTTTTAAATGAAATTATTAAAACAAATAATAAACAAGTGAAATATCCAATTTTTAATAGTTATTAATTAATAATCCTTATTACATGGGTGTTTATACGTGATGACAATTTTCTATCAGAGGAAAAGAAAATAGACAAATTTTCAAACTAAGAAAATAAGGTAGCGTTGTGCGGTCGTGTCATGCTAATACTAATAATATTCAAATCAAGAAATAAGTATAATAACCAGATGAGTAAAATCATTATACTTATGATAATGCACACAGACGTACATATCGACCTAATCTCTCTCACACACACGAAAAATGTTCAATTAATAAAATAAAGTATTATTAGATAGTGCAACATTAATGATTTTTAAAATGAGTGATATAAATAAAAGCCAAACAAAAAAATAATTATAAATAAAACAGCACATATATATATATGTATCGACAAGATTGCATTGTTCTTAGTCATTTTTTATGAAAACAATGAGAACAATTTTGGAACTAGAATAAAGAAGATGAAGAAGATAATTGACGATAGCAGAATTCCTAAGATTAATAAACAAATGAATTTTATATCACTCTCATTGCAAGTAATAAAAAAATAGCTAAATAGTTACAAGTGTTAAATATATGAATACATAAAGATACATATATTCTCGATATAATCGGTAATAGTATTTTAGTCACTTCTATTGTTTATATTATACGTGATGATTTTTTATAGAAAAAAAAAAAAATATAAGAAAAATGTTCATGTTTTATATTCTTATGTATATATATATATATATTTATATATATATATATATACTCTTTTATTTTTTTTTTCTCTCGCTTCCTTGCGAACGCAAATTGTTTTTATTTCCTCACACAGTATGTTCGTCAAATTTGATAAATCTGTATGTATCGTCTTCCTCCTCTTTGCGTTTTCCATATTTCATATAACCGTAATCAAAATCTACGTTTTGCAGTTGTTTACTCGAATCTGAATGATCCCCGTCTCCAGTTTTTTCATTTCTAGCGTATCTACAATATTAATTTATTTAAAGTCACCACATCGGACGAGATATATCAATAATTCCTATGAATTAATTTAAAAAAAAAAGGAAAAACAAAAAAAGAAATGAATAAAACAATACACCATACAAAAACATATTATAGACACAAGCATAATATAATGCAGATAAAAAGATGCAGAAAATACGAATGGATTCCTATAAAAATATGTTTTAATAGCACGTATGGGATTACCCGAGGTGTATTGGACGATGTCTTTGTATACGTTGTAAAGATATTCTGGAAACAGAAGCATCTTGTCCATGAAGTAACCATATGATTGCAAACATGCTACAGAGCACGAAAATCAGTTTCATAGCTATAATATATAATTGAAATATTATAATGCATTTCTATGGATGATGATAATGATGATGATGATGACGATGACGATTGAAGAATACAAAAAGTGAAATGGAATTTATTTAGATTTTTCATTTAATCTAATAGGGTTTGATTGATATAGTGTTTTGAAAAAACGCGATTCACATATTTTGTGAATTATTCATTTAAACAAAATATTACTATGCACGATGAAGTTTGTCAATGATTAAAATTATGCATATATCATAGTAAGTACTTACTTACGTAATGAAGGAAGATGGAAAACCGCGAAGCAAATGACTGATACTGTTCGTAAACACTGCCTTTTTATAGCCGAGGATCTTCATCCCCCGTCTATCATCCCGTAGGAAGGTTAAGCTCTCTGAATTTTAATTCTCTACAGTTCTAGAACGTAGGGCGATAAACAATTTTCTTTTCCCTGCAGTTGACTCAATCGGTTGTTCTTTTTTTATTCCCCAAAGGTACTCGATGATTGGCAGTTTATTGAAAATTATATTACAATCGCCCGTCTGTCTGCATGTATTTCTTTTTTTTTTTTTTTCCCCTTWTTTTTTTCCATTTTAATCTACCTCGCTTTCTTCTTTTTTTTTTTTCCTCCTCTCTGCCGTAGTCTTATCTTTCTGTTTGTTCGTTATTAGAATCGAATCGTAAAAATTAATAAATATTAATAATATTATTCGTTGTTCATTATTATAATGCAAGTGTTGATTATTGACAATTTATTTTTTTAAACTTCTTTTCTTTTTATTTTTTTTTTATGTTCGTCGTATTTAAAGTTTCTGTTTTATTATTGTAGAATTTTAAAAAATAATTCTAATTTTGTATACAATACATATCAGAAATTGTATTAAATTTTGTGAAGAATCGAAAGAATATGAATTTTTAGTCATATTGTGTTTCCTATAACTCACATCAGTTCTTTTTCTAATATTGTCTTTTCTCTTTTCTTTGCTTTTACTTTATTTCTTTCTACGATAAATACGTATTGCGTAGAGACTCTGATAAATATTTCTACTTCTTTATTGAAATCTTTCAAAAAAAATTTATTAAAAATAGAACAATTTTTTAAATTTTATTTCTTATAATACAGTCAATGTTATATATAAGTAAAATTTATAAAAATTTATTGTACTTATTGTTTTCCATTCGTTTCGATTAAAAAATTCGACAAAATTATTGTATAGAAAAAAAAAACAATATCAAAAATTAAAAAAATCAATCGTACAAATTTACAAATTTATGGAAGACGTTAGAAAAAGAAAGTAAAACGTAGTACGTGTCAATAATTTTCTTAATTATATATATATATATATACATATGTTACGTGTTAAGAACACGTTGAATTACGTGGGTAAGGTCAGGGTCAATGGAATTAAGCTTACCAACTAAGATTATTAACGGCTTCCAGAACTTTTATGGTGCTTCTTTAGGAATACTATAAATTATCGTGCTAGATTCAAAGACAAAGCATTTCCTTTGAAAACATCGTTCTCATTTTTACCTGTTAATTTATTTTGTTTGTGATAATTCACACACACACACACACACCCACATACAATGTTCATTAAATCCAACAAAAAAAAATAATAATAAAAAAGGAATATAATATCAATAATGTGATTCCAAGATAAATGAAGAAGAAAAAGAAGAAGAAGAACAATTTCAAATGAATAATGGCAATAACAACGAATTGCGAGGAAACCAATATGGTACCGTTTCATAAAGGTTTATCCGAATGGTGGAGCGAAGAAACGGAATATGTTTTTCAAAGAATCGAAAGATGGGCAGCTTTTGCCAGAGGATACAATCGATTAAGATCTGAAAGATTATCCAAGGGTCGTTTGACAATGCACGAGGAACATGACTCGAGATGGAGTATATCATCAAATAAATTAATCATCGAGGAGGATCCATCTTGGAATCCATCGTTTCATAAACTTAAAAGAAGTCGTCGCAGATCCCGCCAAGAAGAAGAAATTAAAATCAATAATTATCCTGAAAGTGTACTCGGTTATCGTTCTAATGATAATTTGGATAGTACTTGTTTAGAAACTTATAGATACGATCATAGTATTTATTTCAAGACTATCGGTGAAATTAGAAATAATAAGAAAAATCTCACGGAAGTTAATGACAATGATGATGATAATGATGATGATGATGATGATTCCAAGGAAAATGTGTCCTTCGATTGTGAGGATGAAGAAATTGAAGTAGAAGTAAGTAAAGAAGCTGAAGAAGTTGAAGAAGTTGGAGAAATTGATGATGAAGATGATCAAACGTTCGTTTACGATTCAATAGATGATCAATTTTATCTCGACAATGATGATACAAGAGATGACTTTGAATCCAATGATAATAATGTTGGCGTATGGCCGATCGTGGATTTGTCGAAACTCGATTTAAATTCGAAAATGTCGGAAACATCAGTTGATCGTAAAAAGAATGAAGTTGAATGGAGGATCGAGACGAATAATAATTATATGAAAACAAGAAAGGAAAATACTGAGGATAGGAAGGATTATCATAGTGGAAGGTTCAATTATGAATCGAAGGATGAATTCAGAAAGGATCAAGATGGTACTAACAAAGGAATTTTAACTTTAAAAATGATTAAACATCGACCTTCGAGAATGATCAAAAGATCTACCGTTTGCGGAGATAATAATGTCATTTGGCCAGGAATACTTTTAAATTATACGAGAAATGTTGATATTAAGTCATCGGAATCACCTCATCATCATCATCATCATCATCATTATTATTCTTCTAATAATTTCAAATGAATATATTTTATCATTTAAATTTATTTCTTTTGATTTTGTTTTTTTTTTTCTACTTTATTACTTTTCACTTCACAATATTTTTACTTATATTTATTGATTTATATTGATACATTTTAATTAAGTTTTTCTTAAAGAGATATTTATAATTTCTTTTTGTGAAAAAATAATTTCAGAATTATGGAAATTCGAATAAAAAATTGGAGAAACGATTTAACAATTAAAAGGGATTATTATTTTCTTTGTTATTAATTTTAAATGTAAATTCCATTTGTAATAGATATTATCGTGTATTTGTATTCTTTTTATTATTATAATTATTTTCTCTCTATGTATACTCTTGTAAAACTTAAACTTCAGAGAAATTTGTTCAAATAAAAATATTTCCTTGTTGTTTGTTTCATTCTTTAAACTCACATAAAGTTCATTAGAATATAAACTAGAATATTCCAAGACAATTGTTCAGAGTATTTGTTCAATGTAAACTTCTATAAAGGAAAAATATACGAGTGGTATGCAAATAATATTTAAATTATTGGAAAACGATAATTGATGAAAAAGTGATACACATTTTATGATTTAATTATAAAAGGATAATGAAAAAAAAGAAACAAAATAAAAAAAAAATAAATTTAATATCCATATAATAATATATCATTTAATATTTCAATTAACATATCTCATATGATATTTACTGATACACATACAAAAATATAAACACTTTTTGCCCTCTTACATATGTTATTATTCATATGCACAATTAAAACAAATTTTAAAAAAGTTTCTATTTTTCTTTACCATTTTTAATCATATGATAGTATTAGTATACTTGTACATAGATTAATCATTTTATAAAATGGCACTTTTTTCGTTATAATTGTATCTGGAATAAATTAATCAAAATTTCATTTCATTTCATTACTTTCAATTGATTGCATTTTAAATTATATATATATATTTATTTTTTGTATTAAAAACTCTACGTACCCTTTAAATATGAACCGTTAAATGATGCATCACCGTAAAATGTAAACAAATATACATTTGGAAATATTTCTTTAAATATATGCACATCCAATCCAAAGAATAATCTCATACGAAAATAAGAAATGTGCATAAATGCTATTGAATGTACCGATAACTCTATTTCACTATTAAATTCTCGTAATTTTGAGTAGATTTTCTCCGAGGTATCGCAACTTACATCTAAATGCACCGTGTAAGCTTTTAATGATGGATTACTAATGAAAATAAGTAAGAGTTCTGTATCAATTCTACAATGATGCTTATTTAAATTAAATCGACAAACTGAGAGCCTATCTACTATAGCACCCCAAATAAGTATATCATTAAATGGACAGTTCCTATATAATAAACAAACAAAATTCTAATTATTTTTATATAATAATGGACTACATTAATTATTTTATGAATAATTACGTTTTATAATTTTTTAACCAGTATTTCAATATATCACGAAATGCATCCAAAAATTTGACAAAATAATCAGACTGAGACAATATAATTAAGACAGTTGTCCTTGGGTTGAATTGTTTAAGAGAATTTTTGATTTCAGCCACTATGATATGTAATTCATTTTCCTCATAATCGTAATTAAAGCATAATTTTTTAATAAAATATTTATCCGCCAAACTTTCATTAATAAATGTATAAGTCATTAATTCTGACATAGATTTAGTAGGGAAATTAAGCGTTAATTGAGGAATTTTCTGTTCGCCGCGTAATACATTATAATTACTTTTCAAATTTATTGTGAAGCTATTAAATGGTTTAATACTGCAAGGACACCCTTTCAAAAATTACAATAATTTAAATATTAAATATTAATATACATATGCTGATTATTTATTATTCTTTTTTAGAAAAATGATAAAAGATATCCTACAACATGTGAAGAAGATGGATGGNATTTTAATATTTATCTTACCATCTCTTAAATTTATGTCGTTATTATTAGTTATAGAACACATTTGTAAGCAAGGTATTTTGTTGAAAAAATCTGTATATCGTCTATTCTTAAAAATCCATTGTAAACCATAATTTACTCTTAATTTATCTACAATATAATATATATAATCTCCATATTGGTCTTCTTTCTTAGCCATCTGGTATCAAGAACTACGATTATAAGATAATAATTTCATGCAAATATTATCTACAAGGTTTAGTTTAATTTTTATCACAAAATATACTCTTGAGTATGTTCTTTTGTTTTTTTTCTTTTTTCTTGTAATTAATAAATTAATAATCCGAAAAGATAAAAATTATGTGACGTACAAATTTACCAATTTCTCACTGTATATATATTATTTTCAAGATTCATACTTACAAAGATGTTTAATCCGAACGATTTTGCTCAATTGAGAGAAATTATTCTGACGGATTTTCAACCGTCTGATTTAACTGTTATAGAGTAATAAATAATTCTGTTGAGAACAAAGGCTAGCTCATTCTAGCAACCTTAATGTGTCATGTTAAGCTTAATACCATATAAACAAAAATATTGTGAAATAAGTATTAAGAAAATTTATCCAAGTAAATTAATGTAAATAATAAATGTAATAGAAGGAAAATCTACCAATTAGATTATAACTATAGTAAAGACTTTATTGGGTATTTTGATATTTGCTGGTAATAGAAATGATAATTCATAAAACAAAGTGATACACATTGTATGATTTATAAAAAAAAAAGATTGCGAATAAAAAAATAAAATAAAAACAATAAATTAATATCCATATAATAATATTATTTTATATTTAAGTTATATAACATATTACTTGATATTTAGTCATATGCGTATAAAAATATTAAGCCCCTTTTTTTCACCCTTCCATATATTTTATTATTCTCATACACGCAATAAAATCTTTTGTAAAAGTTTTAATTATTCCTTACAATATATTTAATCAGGTGATAGAATAATGAAACTAGTAAGTTTTTTCATATTTTGCATAGTAATTCGTTTCCGATCATAAAGAAGACCTGAAATAATCTTTCAAGATTAGATTTTTCTTATGTAAATACATAAGAATATTCTAGTTTTTGTTATTAAAAATGTACTTACTAATAATACCGTTTATGCTAAATGATCTGTCACCGTAAAATGGAAACAAACATACATTTGGAAAAACATCTTTAAATATAGATATGTCTAACGCATAAAATTCTTTCAAACGAGCATAAGAAACATGCATAAGAGCTATTGAATTAGACGAAAACTCTGTTTTACTTTTGAATTTTCTTAATTCTCTACGGATTTTATCCGCGTTGTTGCAATTTTCATCTAAAAATCCCAGGTAGGTTTTTAAGTTTGGATTATTTATGAAAACAAATAAGAACTTGCTATCCATTCTGCAATAATGCTTGTTTAAACCGAATCGACAAAGTGTTAATGCATCTATTGTAGCAGCCCAGATAGTTATTTCATCCAGTGGAATGCTAATATAACAAAAAAAAAATTTTAATTACTTTTAAATACTAATGGAGTATTTTTGTTTAATGTGATAAGCTAATTTATAATATTTAATAAATACCGACTCTCTACAGCATGCATTAGATCCAGAAATTCTAAAAAAAAATAACTTTGGCAAAATATAATCATAACAATTGATTTAGGATTACGAGTTCGATAAAAATCGACAAGTTTATTCAACAAAGTATGTATTTTCATTTTGTCACGAACGTAATTTAAGTATTGTTGTTCATTCGAATATTCATCATCCATACTATAATTAATAAAAGAGAATGTTGTTAATTCTTTGAAGTATTCAGCAGGGATAGTAATCGTACTTCTAGGATTTATCTCTTCTCCGTGTAGTATATTATAATAACTTTTCAAATTTATTGTGAAACTATTAAATGGTTTAGTTCTGCTAGAACAATCTTCAAAAAATGACAATACTTTAAATATCAATATTCTGGAGAACAATATATATGTATATTTAATGTTTATCTTACCACTTGGTAAATTTATGTCGTTTTTATGATTTGTAAAAAATATTTGTAAACAAGGTATTTTGATAAAATAGTTTATATTATATCTATCTTTAAAAATCCATCGCATACGATGGTTGATTTTTAATTCATCTACAATACAATGTGAAGAATTTTTTATTAATCTTCCATATTTAGCGAGATAATACCAACTTCTACGATTGTAAAATAATATTTCAATATAATTTATCATGTAAATATATATTTGCAGCATTAAAATATAATTTATATTGTAAGCATTATAAACGATAAACCTTTTTCTAAAATGAGATTTAAATATATTTTGTATTTTTAACATAATGATACCTGCACACTTGACCAATATTGTAAAGATCATCACTAGTAAAATACTTTAAAGTAAAAAATAAAGCTACGTTTATCGTGTCTTCATCCATTTTTTAAATAACGTACAATAAAATACGCTTTTTAAAATCCGACTGTTGTATTTATTTCTTTGAATTGATATCAAGTATCTCCCTTTTTCTGCAGTTTTCTTATATTCCCGAATAATATATTTCATTTCTGAAAATTTTTGTCCATGTAAATTATTTTCTCTACTGTTGATTTAATTATCTTATGGGTGTGTTGTACACTACAATATAAAAATTACTTATTTGGCGTATATTTAATTTCCCAATAGCAATATACGTGATCATGTTTTCTTTTTTCTTAATTTTTAATAAATTTATAGTTAGAAAAGATACAAATTCTGTATAATCTTCGTATTTAACAGTTTCTCGATATATATATTATCATATTTTCAAGATTTCTACTTACAAGAAAAGTATATGTTTAATCCTATTGTGAAATATTGAAAGATTTATCTGAATTTAAATTATTCTGATTGATTTTCAACTGTCGGATTTAACTGTTACCGAATAATAAGTAATTCTGTTGAGAAAATCAAAAACTAGATCATACTCGCGACAGTAGAGTGTCGTACTAGGCTTAATACCATAAACAAAAATATTGTAGAACAAGTATTAGGAAAATTTGTCCAAGGGAATTCATGTAAATTATAAATGTAATAGAAGGAAAATTTACCAATTAAATTATTACTATAGTAAAGACTTTATTATGTATTTTTATATTTGTTGGTAATAAAAACGATAATTCATAAAAAAGTAATACACATTGTACGATTTATAAAAAAGTAGATTGCGAATAAAAAAACAAAATAAAAACAATAAATTAATATCCATATAATAATATTATTTTATATTTAAGTTATATAACATATTACTTGATATTTACTCACAAACGTATAAATATTTTAAGCCCTTTTCTTTTGTCCCTTCCTATATATATATTTTATTATTCATACAAGCAATAAAATTTTTTGTGAAATTTTTAATTATTCCTTACTATTATCCTGTGATAGTAATATGAAACTAGTCAATTGATTTATATTTTCCATAGTAGCTCGTTTACGTCCAGTAAGAATAGCTGAAATAATCTTTCAAGATTAGATTTTTCTTATGAAAATACATAAGAATATTCTAGTTTTTGTTATTAAAAATGTACTTACTCATAATATCGATTGAGTTAAATGAATTATCACCGTAAAAGGGAAACAAACATACATTTGGAAAAACTTCTCTAAATATAGATGTGTCTAATGCATAAAATTCTTTTAAACGAGAATAAGAAACATGCATAAGAGCTATAGAATTTGACGATAATTCTATTTTACTTTTTATTTTTCTTAATTCAGTTTCAATTTTATGCGCGTTGTTGCAATTTTCATCTAAAAATCCCACGTAGGTTTTTAATTTTGGATTATTTATGATAATAAATAAGAACTTGTTATCAATTCTACAATAATGCTTATTTAAACTGAATCGACAAATTGATAGTGCATCTATTGTAACAGCCCAAATAGTTATTTCAAACATTGCAATGCTAATATAACAAAAAAAAATTTTAATTATTTTTAAATACTAATGGAGAGTATTTATTTATGCGAGCAATTAATGTTTATTATTTAATAAATACCGTCTGGATACAGCATACATTAGATCCAAAAATTCTAAAAAATAACAACTTTGGCAAAATATAATTATAACAATTGACTTAGGATTACAAAACCGGCAAAATTGGACAAATTTACTATACAAAGTATGTATGTTCATTTTGTCATTAACGTAATTTAAGTATATTTGTTCATTCGAATATTCATTTTCCCTACTATGATCAATAAAAGAGAATGTTGTTAATTCAGTGAAGTATTCAACAGGGATAGTAATCGGCCTGATAGGATTTATCTCTTCTCCGTGTCGTATATTATAATAACTTTTCAAATTTATTGTGAAGCTATGAAATGGTTTAATGCTGCTAAGACACCCTTCAAAAAATGACAATACTTTAAATATCAATATTCTGGAGAACAATATATATATATATGTATATTTTAATATGTGCATTTATCTTACCACTTTGTAAATTTTCGTCATTTTTATCATTTGTAAAACATATTTGTAAGCAAGGTATTTTGTTAAAATGGTTTGTATTGTGTCTATCTGTAAAAATCCATCGTAAATGCTGATTGAATTTTAATTCATCTACGATACAACTTGTAGTATCTCTCATTAATTTTACCGATTTTGTGACATTATACCAATATCTACGATTGTAAAATAATATTTTTAATATAATTTATCATGTAAATAAATATTATATAAACGATAAACATTTTTTAAAATGAGATGAAAATATATTTTGTATCTTTAACGTAATAATACCTTGAAACTTGACCTAACTTTTGAAGATCATCAATATTCAGATACTTTAAAGAAAGGTATATAACTTTGTTTCGTTGGCTGGGATTCATTTTTTTTAAATAGCGTACAAATTATTTTTTCTACCATTGATTTAAATTTCTTATGAGTGTGTAGTACGCTACTATATAACAATTATTTATAAATAATTACTTATTTGGCGTATATTTAATTTCCCAATATTAATATACGTGATCATGTTTTGTTTTCTTAATTTCTAATAAATTTATAGTTAGAAAAGATAAAAATTCAGTAATCTTCGTATTTAACAGTTTCTCGATATATATATTATCATATTTTCAAGATTTTTACTTACAAGAAAAGTATATGTTTAATCCAGTTGTAGAATAATGGAAGATTTATCTGAATTTAAATTATTCTGACTGGTTTTCAACTGTCGGATTCAACTGTTACGGAATAATAAGTAATTCTATTGAGAAAACAATGACTAGTTCATTCTCGAGACCGTAGTGTGTCGTATTAAGCTTAATAATACCATAGAAATACGAGGAAAATTTGAATTGTTTAGACAAGTTCTATCTTCCATAATACAATTAAATATGATATACACTGTTTACAGGTCCCAATAGTCTAAGAAACTATACTGTAAAGCATCATTACACAATTTGGTTAGTATAAATAAAACTATTTAAATCCTTTACATATCAGTAGAACTATGAAACCGAAATTTAACAATAATTTTACTTAACTTCTAACTGCTAGTCATTAAAATTGGATTATCTGATAATTCTATGTAATTTAATCATAAATTTAACTATAGTAACATTTCAATTGAATTATTCAATGATTCTGTATAAAAAATTAATCTAACGTATGATTATCTAATCATTGTATTATTATTGCCAAATTAAAATTGTGAAATACTCGCTAGATATATTATGTGCATATAATACTTCTACGATTTCTTATTGACTTCTTATTACGTGTTAGTCGAGAGATAATAGTAGGTTTACTACACTTCTACCTATCGTTATCCGATCGACCAATTAACAACGCTCAAAATAAAAGTTATAAAAGGTGAAGAAAGATCGATATAACTTATCCATGAAGAAAATAACCTTTCCCATCTAACACAATATTTTAAATTTTATCTTAAACATCGTATCGATATACTCTTTCCCTTTTAACAACAAAAAACATATATATATATACTCTCCAACCCTAAAAAAAAATTATATATATCTTGTTTAATAAAAAAGTACAAAATAAAATAAAAAAAAAAACACAAAATTTGATTTCTAAATAAAATAATGAAAACGGTAATGAGAGATCTCGATTGGAGTATATATTAAGAAAAAATAGAAATATATGAAAGTTATTTTTTAAAATAATAATAATAATATTTGGATCGCGTAAAAAAAAAAAACAAAAATACGAAAAATAATAAAATAACGATTAAACAAATGGAGCTTGGCATACAATATGTTCTCGTTAAAATATGAAAATTATTATGTAAGATTTAAATTGCGCATGCTCGTAATCTAACTCAAAGGATTGGATGAACTTTGCGTGGAGGAGTGAAGAGGGTGAATTGCGACTAGAATCGATCCTAACTTTTGTTAGTGGGAAGAGTATTACTACGTATGTTCAACGAAAGGTGAACCGAGTGTGTATGTTCAGTTAACTTGAGTTGAGTTCAGTTGAGAGTCGCAAACGTGACGTGTCATCATTTTATATACATTGGCTAGTAATAAAAGAACAACAACAAAAAAATCTATTTAACGAGAAATAAAGGTAAAAAAGAAAGGGGTAGAGACAAATTTTACAAGGAAACAAAACTCAGGAAAGGAAGCTTGCGAAGAGAAAAAGGAGGTGGAGAAATTCAGAAGATAATTAGGAAGAAAGATGAGCATAAGATTGGAAACCGTTGCCACGATGGCCTGCATGAAGACTCTCCTTATACTATTTAATTTTGTATTCTGGGTAAGAGAAATGATCATTTGAATATTTCAACATTTGGGATAAGATTTAATGTTTCGAAGAAATGTTTTATGCTCTCGATTATTTGAAAGGGGGGTTGGATTATTTTATAATTGTATTTTGGTCTATGTGTGTTACGTTATAAATTGTTTTATATATATAATTTTTTTTGTATGGAAATATGTTATAGTATTTGCTATGTGTTTAGAGAAAATTATAGATTTTTGTATAACTATGTCATACTATATTATACTATACACTATTTCAGAATATAGTAATCGTATAGTATAAAATAATTATGTTAACTCTTCTAACGTCAATATTAAAATCCATAAAATACGCTTCTAATATTAATAACAACAATTTTTAACTAAATAAAAAATAAATGTTTACAAAAAAGTTTATTAAAAAATATTTGTACAATAAAATTAGATATATTTTTTAATTATTTAACTAAGAATATATTATAGATTTATGTGTACGCGATTATTAGAATTAGGATACTTTTAATGTACAAATTTTTAATACGGTTTGTTAATAAAATTGCAATTAATTTTGTTCGAGCCAACTGTTGCGCAACAGTTCGCAATTTCGTGACCCTTAATGGTATCTACCTGTCGACGTGTCCGAGACACTAGTTGATTCTAAACTATTTGTTTTACGGGGTGAATCAATCGATCAGAATAAAGAAATACAAATGAACGATGTCAGAAGAAATGGACAAACGTATCATAGTAAATTGTTCTCGAATCAAACGGCAAACAAATTGATATTGTTTGTCACTGTAATTAAACGAATCCCCTATATTGGTTTTCTATTATTTTGTCCTTTTCATTATTTTACCTTTCCATTTATATAAACGATACAAGAAAAGAATTTCTTTTCAAAGTTATCATTTAATTAGATAATATTTTGGAATTAAAAAAACAATTATTGATATTTATTTGAATAAGTTAATATCTTGTTCTTTTTTTTTCTTTTTTTTTTTTGTTATGGGGGAGAGTAGGTATCTGGTATGCTGATGCTGTGTATTGGAATATGGATGCGTGTTCAACTTCGAGATTACGTTAATACCAATGACGAAGCAAGTGGAACTGCATTGTTAGCACTTGCAAGTCTTGGTGCAATTTTAGCACTGGCAGCAACATTAGCATGTTGTTGTACTGCTCGTGGACATCCTGCTTTGCTTTATTTGGTAAGAAAAATAAAAAATAAAAAATAAAAAGAATTCCAATAAAAATTTCAACTAGAAAATTTTTCAAAAAAGGGACAACAAAATTGTCGAATTTATTTTCGTTGCGTTTTTAAATTCACAGTATGGAGCTTTCTTAGCGGTGGTAGCATTGTTGGAACTTGGCGTGGGTGCTTCGATTTATGCTTATCGTACGTCCTTGAACGAAGGATTTGAACAAGGATTAAACGATAGCATAACAGCTTATGCTCATGATCCGAAAAAACGTTCGCATCTTGATACCATTCAATCTACCGTAAGTAATTATTCATATTTTTATGTTTTTTTTTGTATTGATAATGATAATAATAGTAATAATATATATAAAATAATTAAATTTACAATAAAATATTATTTTATTCGTTGCAGTTACATTGCTGCGGAAGCAAAGATTATACCGATTGGTTGAACACGAATCCACCAAATATTCCTATATCCTGTTGCAAAGTACAAGAGGAATGTAACCCTTTTAATACAGAAAACATTTATACCGAGGTATTGTTTAAACAAATTAATTAAATTAATTAAAATTAATAATAAAGGGTGTCCTATAAGTGGTGGTACAAGTGGTACCAATTTTCAAACTTATTGTTCTCAAAAACGAAGGCTTGTATGAACAAATGTTATTCTACATTGTCGACTTAGTTTTTTATGCAGTATCACCCTTTACTCGTTTTTACCATCAGTTACAAGACACTCTATATATATAATAAAAATTATTTTGAAATCATATAATAAATAAATATTTTTCTTTTTTTATTATAGGGTTGTTACAATCTCGTATTAACTTTCATTAACAGTAATATTGGATTAGTAGCTGGCACGGCTATTGGGGTTGCATTCTTCCCATTGATCGGTGTATTTTTAGCATGTTGCTTGGCTAATAATATTAATAAGGCGAAATACGAACAGGTTGCCTAGGTCATGAATTGTTTAAGGAAAAATTGTATCCGATGAAAATGGAAGGATTAAAGAAAGAAAGAAAGAAAGAAGAAATGACTAATCGTAAGACTAAGATTAACGAAAGTATAAAATTAGAACGATGAAAGAATTCTAAAAAAAAAAAGAAAAAAAAAAATAAGAAAGGAAGCAAGTTATTTGTAAGAAATAAATTTGCGAATTGAAAAATGATCCAACGATTGCGATTAAGCTCTTAATTGATTTTCGTTTAAAACTATTCTAATTAACTATAACGTTTCTAACAAATATTAGAGATTAGTTTAACGCATGATATCATTCGATTTCTTATAGAAAATTTTAAAATACTGACGAAAGTAAGAACGAATCTGAATACACCAATTAGTCATTAATATGCAAAGTTCATTCAATTTTATTCAAAATCGGTGTTCAGATAAACATATTTATATATATATACATATATATATAAAAATATATACAGTGAGTCATAAAAGTATTCGTAGCCAATTACTTCTCTCTCTCACTATTAATTTGAAATAATTGATATTTGCTTGTGTATCAAACTTTTCAAATTCTACTAAACAAAGACTTATTTTGAGATTATTTTATTTTCAAATTGATATATCAATTTTGTAAGATCTATTTAAAAGTTGAATAATCCTACAATAAGTTTTTGTGTATGAGAATTTGAGAAGATTGCATTACAAGCAAATATCAATCGTTTCAAATTGACGACGAGCCTACGAATACTTCTGTGACTTATTATAAATGTAATATAATATACAGTAGGTAAAAAAAAAAAGAATTTGCATAGCTCATTGTGTACCGCAATTCGGTGTTATTTTTCTACCACACGAATCTTTTATCATTCGACCCGAAAAAACAATTCCAAAATTCTACTGGCTTGTTTTTTCATTGCAAATCGTACAGATGAAAAGTTTTAATTTCATTTTTCACCAATTTGACGATAAACTAAGAAAGTATGTTACGATCCTTCTAAAAATATTTTCTTTACATTCTTATCGTTTCGATTTGCCAAAAAGTGATTTCCAAACAATTATCATGGGAATGCACCAATGTGTGGCAAATATTTATTTATCTATAGAACATTTTTCTTTTATTATTACATATTATTTTTCATTAATAACGTTATGAGATTTCTGTCAACATATATTGCCATTGTTTGTAAAAGATAATTAAATTAATCCATTATATTAATATTCAGCTTATTCGAATAGAGTTACTTGAAGAAAACGAGCTATGCAAATATATTTTGTTACCTACTGTATGTCTGTTATGTGATATCAACGATATTGCATTAAGAGAAATTCTATATCTATTTAGCATGCTATATATTCAATTTGCTTCCAATTAAATTACCAGTGTCATTATATAATATGTCTATGTATATATTTTCATTTTTATTATATCACTTATACAATAATAATAATAATAATAATAATAATATGAATAATATCAATTATATGAATAATAATCACATTATATCTTTCTGGCAAATTATAAAGAGAAAGTTTTATGAACACAATTTCGATTTCAATAAATATTTTGTTTTCGGTCAATATGATGTTTCAGATATATCGCTTATATAAATATATACATACATATATATATATATTGTGCTGTTAGATATTTGATAGTAAAAAAAAAAAAAAAAAAAAAAAAAAACAAATAAAATAAGAAAGACGGTAGTAGAATAGAATTTTAACGAAACTGAATTAAATTATTAACCCTTTGCATTAGAAGGTTTATTTTTTTTTACTCATATTACCAGCAACTCAAAATCATTTCAATAGAAAAACAAACATATTGATATGTGTATAAAAAGAAATTGTGGTTGTTTTTTTATTGGTAATTTTTTGGTTTATCTCTAATGTCCTCTGCAATTTGTCCAAGGTAGAGATTTGATAGATTCATTTAACAATGAGTGTAGTTTCGTAGATGTTCTCTAAGTAGAGAGCATTTTTATAATAAGTAAGGAACAATTGTCTTAGTTTATGGTGTAAGGAGATCTTAAGACTATGATTTCATAGAAGACGATTTCTTAGACTATGAGGAAACAAATGACTTCAAGTGCAAAGGGTTAAATCACGTAGAAATAGAAAAAAAGAGATAAAAGGGAGAGAGAGTTAACTTTTAAGAATATATTTATAATAATTTTATTTATATTGAAAATATTTTTCTGTATCATTGTATATTTTTTATTTTTAATTTAATTTATTTTGCGATTAATCACTACACATTTATTTGATACCATTCATACTACCATATAGAAAAGAAGATTAATTAAATTAGTGAAATGTTACTAACGTTTCATTCGAAGAATTTATTTTTATAATGAAAACCAAGTTGACATATATATAACTTTGAGTATATATTAATATATATAATATTTTGGGGGACATTCTATAACGTGTTTTATTGTATCGCTTTAAATGTGTTTAGTATTAAAAAAAAAAGAAAATAAAAAAAAAAGAAAAATATTATTTAAATAAAAACCATATGTGCATGTACAACAATTTTCAAGTTCCTAAGAATATATTAAAAAATTTCGTTTGTGAAGGATGATAGAAAAAAAAAAAAAAAAGAAAAAGAAAGTGAAACCAAAGAAATAAAAACGCGGTTGTCGTAATTATTTTTTATATTTTTTTTTCGTTAAGTATATTCTTTATCGTTAAGAATTTTTCTATATGAAATTGATATAATATGTATATACGTAAAAATATATGTCATTTTCCTTAAAATCTTTCATCAAATGCATGTAATTTCTTATCTTTATGTGTTTCTATATATATAAAAACTATAAAAAAATAAAAAAAACCCAAAAAAATTAAAACAAACTAAATAAGTATTATAAAAGTATTTCAAGCGATCTTTGTCATATTCGAATCTCCGTATGATGAATGTAAACTCTGCTTTTGAAACAAATTTTTGCATTTTGAATGGGGTATTTTGTGAATCTTTCTAATTGTAACTTTGAAACAAAGTTGACGAGATAAGAAATAAATAATAATCTCGATAACTATTTAATATATCTGTTATAAAATTTGATATAAATTTTATTATATTATATTAAAATCTTGAATAAAGTGCAAATAATTAATCGAATATACCATTTTCACAGATCAGAGTTTAACTACACACAAATACGTAGGTAGGTTGAAAAGTTTTAAGCTCCAATTAAAGAAAAAAATACTTTTATTTTAAACAAAAAGTAGCAATTAGTTTGGTTGAAAAGAAATTGTTTTTATGTTGGGCTCAAAACTTTTCAACTCACCCAAGTACATGCACGCACACTCAAATATACATACGTATATGTATAAAATATATTAAACGATATATATTAAAATATATTTATTATATACGTATATTCTATATATATATATATAATATTATTAAAATTTATTATTATATATATTAAATATATATATAAATAATATCTCAACAACAAATCAGCATTGCAAGAAAGTTTTCTAATAATAGTTAAACAATTAAATTTCATTTGTATGCAATTTTACGTTTAAATATACAAGCGTTTAACAAATTTAATTATGCGATAAATAAAATTATCCATATCAAAATTATTTCATTCATTTGTAAAACTTTAACGATCGCCCTAATTATGATGTTATAATAATAATCCATTATTTTTTAATTACATATACCAAATTCATAATCTATAATACTATTTATATATATATATATAATTATGATTAATTTTGATATGATTAAAAATTTATAATTAATAAAACTATGTTAATTGCAATCAATAATTACTTTCGATCATGCTGACATCTAACGTCACTTTATTCACTTATATTTACTACTACAATTGATTTCTGTTATTTAATATTGAAATAAAGAATTTAAAGGGAATATAATAAACAATAATCATGTCTCTTGCCGACGAGTTATTAGCAGATTTAGAAGAAAATGATGATTCTAATCGAATGGTGGAAGAACCAGAACCTAATTTTATTCCCTCAAATATATCCACATCCATTGAAGAAGGTTAGTTTTTACTTTACATTGTTTGTAAATAACTGTTTATATATCCATAATATTCTAATCAATTTATTTTTTATCTAGAAGTAAAAGTTTCTTCTGTGAAAGAATTAGCAAAACTTTGCGACTCAGAGCAATTAAAAAAGATTATGCGTGAAATAGAAAAATACAGTAAATTACCAAGAAAGTCAACAGATATCATAGGCCCTGTTGAATCTGATCCAGAATATCAATTAATAGTTGAAGCTAATAATATGTCAGTAGATATCGATAATGAAATTGGTAACTCATTTGTTTAAACCAATATTGTTTATTATACTGATATATTTTCTTATTAATAATTGATTTATTTTGTTTTATATGTAGCTACAATACATCGATTTACACGAGACAAATATTCAAAAAGATTTCCAGAATTGGAATCATTGGTAGTAGGACCTTTGGAATATGTTATGACTATACGAGAACTTGGAAATGATTTGGATAAAGCGAAGAATAACGAAACCCTACAACAATTTCTTACACAAGCTACTATTATGGTTGTTTCTGTCACAGCTTCTACGACGCAAGGGTAATTAATTGATATACTTTAAATATTATTATTATTTTGAAATTCTTGCAGTTATATTCATATTTCTGTTATCATGTTTTATTAAAGACAGTTGTTAAACGAAGAAGAAAAAGAAGCTATATGTGAAGCCTGCGATATGGCAGTAGAGTTAAATAATTGTAAATTAAAAATATTTGAATATGTCGAAAGTAGAATGGCCTTTATTGCGCCAAATCTTTCTGTAATTGTTGGAGCATCTACAGCTGCTAAAATTATGGGTATGTTTATTTGAAACATTTCATAGTTTAAAATGATAAATTAAATTTAGAAGATCTAACATATGTAAATGATTTATTAGGTATTGCTGGAGGTTTGACAAAATTATCCAAAATGCCAGCATGCAACGTGTTAGTATTGGGATCTCAGAGAACTACACTTTCTGGTTTCTCGCAAATGGCAAGTCTACCTCACACAGGATTTATATATTATTCTGATATCGTTCAAGATACACCACCAGTAAGTCCTATTCTAATCACAAAAATACTTGCCTAATAGTAAAGTAATAAAAATTAACGACCAAACCATTTTAGGATTTGCGAAGAAAAGCAGCAAGATTAGTCGCATCGAAAGGAACATTAGCTGCACGTGTGGATGCTTGTCATGAAAGTACGGATGGTCATATTGGACAATTATTCCGTGATGAGATAGAAAAGAAATTGGATAAATTACAAGAACCACCACCTGTCAAATTTATAAAACCTTTACCCAAACCTATTGACCCAAGTAGAAAGAAGCGTGGTGGAAAGCGTGTTAGAAAAATGAAGGAACGTTATGCTATCACGGAATTTAGAAAACATGCAAATAGAATGAATTTTGCGGATATAGAAAACGATGCTTATCAGGAAGATCTTGGATATTCCAGAGGTACAATTGGAAAAGCAGGAACAGGACGTATTAGATTACCTCAAATAGACGAAAAGACAAAAGTTAGAATTTCGAAGACGTTACAAAAGAATTTACAGAAACAACAACAATGGGGTGGAAGTACAAGCGTTAAGAAACAAGTCTCAGGAACGGCTTCGAGTGTAGCATTTACACCATTGCAGGTATAATTTTATAAATATTTTATACAATTCATTTACTGCAATTATTTAATTATATTTTATCATTTATCGTAGGGTTTGGAAATTGTTAATCCACAAGCTGCAGAGAAGAAAGTAAACGAAGCTAATGCTAAATATTTCTCCAATACAGCTGGTTTCTTAAAAATTAAGAAACCTTAATATAAATTTTTATCGTATATATAAATATTTGTTATATATATATAAATGAATCTAAAAGCATTAATTAATACTAAT